GGTCTGGGGAGCGGGGAGGCGAAAGTAGTGCTGCGCCTCCGAACCCTGCCTCTCGTCCCGTAGGGTGGCTGCGGGCGCGGAACAACCCCGCTTCTGCGGACAGAATACAACTTAGAAATGCGCTTTTACGTACTTACATATACATAATAAATATATGTAAGTGCCCGGCTTTATTTTGTGGAAAAGATTTTTTCAAAGGGTGAAAGTAGAATATTAAACTCTTAAAATAAATATTTCGGTGTCGTATGGGCGTTTCTGCATTTATAGCCGGAAAGTTAAACCTCGAATTGGAATTCGCTCCTGCGTGTCTATCGGTAAATCGGTGTGTCCGGGCGCTGTTGTGCCGGCGGCGGTTCAGTGTCTGCACTCTTTGCACCAGACGTAAACGGCTGTTGGAGCAGCCGATGCTGTTAAATGGATTTGAAAGCTTAAAGGGCTAGGTAGCTCTGATCTCTGTCAATAACAGACTTTTGGAAGGCATTTCAACTTTTGAACTCGACACTCGTGTAAAACACCGTTCAGTGAATTTAAATCCAGCGGTGATAGGCTTGCTTTCTTCATTAGTTTTCATATAGCCCTTTAGAAGTAAGCAGGGATAATCCCGGGGATAATCTCCCAGCGGTCTATAGACTAGAGATTGAAAACATCTGACTTAAGGTGCGAGGAAGGCAACCTTGTTAATTGATTTTCTACAGCTCCCATCTCAAATGAGGTTTCACTGGTAGAAATCGGAGGTACATGTTTAGGAATAGTAGAATCGTGCTGATCTTGTACCGAGTCAGGAGCAGATGGGGATTGTGGCACTAAAAACAAGGTCTTAAAACACCGCGGTTCAGTGGGACTCATAAATGAGGTGTCCAAATTCTGCACGGGTTATCTTGGAGCGATAACTTCTGTAATCTGGAAGAATCTGCTGGTTAAGGTATCCAGCAAGTACTGGGTATGGGTGCTAAAAGTACTGAAATGTGCGTTCAGACGCACAGTGACTTAAAAGTCTTAATCTCGTCCAGATTCCTTTATTTTGAAAGATGTTCCTAGGATCAGGCGATACTCCTGCTTGTGCTCCAGTAGGTCAGTGGTTGCATCCTCACGAGGGTATAGGAGATTAGGGTGCGAACTTCCCTGCCTAACTGGGAGAGGTTTCATCGTGTGCCTGGAAAATGCCTGGTCTGACAAATTGCCACCCGGCAGGTCTGTTTTGGATATTGAACGGACAGTGCGATAGTGTTGTCAGTTCTTGAACAGCTTTTTTGTAAGTTCACGAAGAGGCATCTGTGCATCAGTATTAAATCTTTAATTTGCTTATTTTTTTAGTTTGCCACCTAAATTTGTAGTCACCAAAGATGATCTGACTTCATATCTTGTATGTGAAAATCATGGTGATTTAGCACAGGATGGTCCATCTGTGTTCACTTCCTGAACAAAGAATTGTCCAGGAAGTTCAGGTGATGACATGATTGAAGACTAACACTGCTCTTGTAATCTTTCGTGTCTTTTAAAAATTATTTTAACGTTCAGCGTTTCCTTTGACGTTTTTGTGTGGAGTGCAAAGCCTGATAGTTTGTTTGGAATTCTTTTTGATGGAAATGCGAGTATTTCAACAACTCATGGTATCTTTGATTAGACAATATTGTAATGATGGCTTTCAAGCATGACCTGACTGTTTACGTCTAAAGGAACATCAAGGCTACAAATTTTTTTCCCTTTTTTTTTTTTAATAAATATAGAGTTTGCTTTCTAAGGCACAAGGGGTAGGCTCCAGCTCAGTCAAACTTCGAGGGGGCTCTCTATTTATGAATGTTGGGAAATCAGAGAAGCAAGAAGAAGATATTAGACGAACACCTCATGTGAACATCAATCCATTCACTCCTGATTCCATGTTCCTTCACAACTCTGAAGGAAAATGTCGTAGGAGGAAGAGAACACACTGGAATGAGTGAGTAACTTGCATCTATCTGCCTTTGTTAAACTTACCTTTAGAACTACTTCTAGCTGCAAAAGTTTTGTTACAAATCGCTTCTATGGAATTATTTTTTGTATCCGCTTTGAGATGCGTGATACCATGAAATAACCATTTAGCACTAGATATTTTGATTAGTACAGAGACGATAAGACTGTAGGATGCAGCCTAGCCTTTTACTTGACTCAGCTATGCACGCAGTCTTGAGGAGGGAGAAACACACCAAATACTAGTATGAAACTTGAAGACAGACATGACAAAGATACTAGCATGGTACCTTTTTTATGAGTTTGTGCTTACAAATGTCTAGCATTCAATTAGTTAAGCTAAGGTAGAATGGGAGAATTAGATCTTAGAAGAATCAACAGCTGCTAGACTTCAGTTTAAAGTTCACTTAAGCCATATCACTTTTGCAAAAGTAACCAGTGTGAATTTCAGCTCTTGTGGAGAGGACATGGAAGCGAGTGATGCAGAGCCTGAAGATGAAACTGTCAGACCTGCGAAGGTAATTAATCTTTAGAACTTGATACTAAGTTTGGCAGTTTGTGTATCTGCAGATCTAAGTGTTTTCCTTTCTAATCTTTGCAGAGGATAACAATAACAGAAAGCAATATGAAGTCACGGTATGCAACTGAATTTCATGAGTTGGAGAAGATTGGATCTGGTGAATTTGGTTCTGTTTTTAAATGTGTGAAGAGGCTTGACGGCTGTATTTACGCAATAAAGCGATCCAAGAAACCCTTAGCTGGCTCAGTGGATGAGTGAGTGTTTCCTGCTATAAAAAGTTAGAAGTCACCTCTTGGTGCGTTTTCCTCCCATGTTTCTTTGTATTGGTGTCTAGAGAAGGCATTTAAGAGAAAAGTATAAATATACATGAATTAAATGTAAAACAGGTACAATTTTGAAGTCACTTTGCTTTTTCTTTTTCTGAGTACTGTGCAGTACTGGGGATGAAAGGCTACTTGGCCTTTCTCCTTGTCCCAGTATTCTGTGTGGAAACAGGTTGGTCTCGTCTGCGAAGTAAGAATAATGCTTACTTGCATTAATGGCAGGAGGGACTGTATGAATAAACTACAGTGACGCTCCTTTGAGATACGAAAGGAAAGCAATATTCTCGACTCTGTCCTCATCCTCGTCAACTTGAGTGACACGCAGATTACTTAAGTCAGTTTGCGGGTGTTTTTTGGCGTTTGTGAATGAGCCTGCGATTCGTGACTTTTTCGCCCACTGTTCTAATAATTACAAAATGCCATGAGTTTGAGTTGCTCAAAATTGCATATCGGACTTGTGCACCAGAAGTCAAGAATGTTGAGTTCAGTCATATTCCTGGCTTATGATCATCATTAGATTTTTCCTACAACTTCAGTGATGCTTCTCAAAGCTTGCTGCTGGTTGCAAAGTATGTAGTGGAAGGGGTAGCTCCCTCAAGAATTACCTGCCACAAAACTTGGGTTTTGGTGTTCCATATACTTAGTCTTTTAATATAATGTATCTATTTTAGCTGTTTGGATATAAATACAAATCCACCTTAAGGTGCCACAGAACTGAATAAGATGATTTTAATTAGAAATCTGAGGTGGCAGAGGGGCATGATATAATAAGGGTTTCTGTCAAGCTGAAATTTGGCTAATTTCACCTCATGATATTCTTGTGTGCTGTTATTTTTTGTGACTGTAACAGGCAAAATGCTTTAAGAGAGGTCTATGCACATGCAGTTCTGGGACAGCATTCTCATGTAGTAAGATACTACTCTGCATGGGCAGAAGATGATCATATGCTTATACAGAATGAATATTGCAATGGTAAGTAAAGTTTATTGCTTGTTCTGAACTTGTTTTCCAAAAAAAAAAAAAAAATTTTTGAAGATATACAGGTATCTCTGCAAATCCCTAGCACTAGTTAGGAATTGATTGCCTTACACATCGCTCATGCCCTCGTTGTCTCAAGTGTGTCTGATGTTCCTTTCTGTTGGAAAAGGCATATCAGATATGTGAAACAAAAACTACAAGATTGCAGACAAATTCTTAAAAGTGTTCAAGATTATTGCAAGTACGGTGAGCAGCAAAACTTTTCTTCTGTACAATAGTACAAGCTGGAAAAGAGAAAATTACCGGCTTCCTCTAACAAGGGAGGTGGGCCTGATTTCTGAAGTTTTCTGCTATGGTTGATGCCCTGCCAGAGATTTGAGAGAGGGGGAGAGGTGTTTTCACTTGTGTTCCTATCCTGTTAATTTGCACGGCAACTGCAGCAGAAAAAGTTTTATTATATTACATGTCTATGAAGCGGGGATACAGCACTAGATTTTTACACTTCCTGTGTATCATCAGAAAGTTCTTTGTGATATATTGTCTGTTAATTTTGGAAGCCAGTTGTAATTACTTCTGGAAATAAGTTGTCATTACTTTGTCAACTGTTTGATGTAAAATAAGTAGTTGTTTTCTTTAATGTTGTTTTAGGTGGCAGTTTAGCAGATGCCATAAGTGAAAATTACAGGAATATGCGTTATTTTACTGAACCAGAATTGAAGGACCTGCTGCTTCAGGTGGCTCGAGGCTTAAAGTACATTCACTCAATGTCACTGGTACACATGGATATCAAACCTAGTAAGTTTGTAAACTGCTTTACTCTCTGTTGACAATTTCCTCCGTTCATTTAATCTGCTGTAGAAAAAATGAGCAGTTAGCCACACCTTACTAACTGTAAATTCTTCACTGAAGTTCTAAGTAGCAGTACAAAGACGTCAGTTATAGAATTGGCTGGAACCGTTGTTGAGTTTATCTTGGGTTCTTTTTATGTGATCGACACTACTTGCATAACACTTGGCTCCCCTCCCAGCAGAGGGGCCAGAGCAAGTAAGTTACACTTTCCCGCTTTGCGAACTGGGTATGCATACAACTGACATTTCTGTGTGGCTGAAGCAAACTGTAGTGAAACTAGATGAAGCAGAAATTGGACACAAATGTGGTTTGTTATTTTAACAATTCTGTGCTTTTTCAGGTAATATTTTCATATCTAGGACATCAGTCCCGAGTACAACTTCAGAAGAAGGTGATGATGATGACTGGTCGTCTGATAGAGTCATATTTAAAATAGGTGAGAAGCAGCACACTTGTGCTCAAAAGAATTGCATTGTCTATTTGTCTTCTGGAAAACAACTTTCTTTTCTTTTGCAGGTGACCTTGGCCATGTAACTCGAGTATCTAGTCCACAAGTGGAGGAAGGCGATAGCCGTTTTCTTGCAAATGAAGTCCTACAAGAGGTAACTGTTCTGTTTGTGGAAGATAGTGGTGTTAGGTCTGTGTGCTGTTTTCTTTAGAGTAATGAGTTGCTGTCTGTCGCCTCCTTGCTGGAGGAGAAGCTTCCGAAATGATATCCCCTTGAACACTGGTACTACTTAAAGGGGAATATGATACTGTGGATGTGTTTAGTATTGAATAGTTTAGTTGTCTGTTAGATTTCTTCTTACACTGGGTGGTATGTGTAGTAAGTTTATTTTTCTTTATTTTTCAAGAACTACACTCATTTGCCAAAAGCAGATATTTTTGCTCTTGCTCTGACTGTTGTCTGTGCTGCTGGGGCTGAACCACTTCCAACTAATGGGGACCAATGGCATGAAATTCGACAAGGAAAACTACCTAGAATACCGCAAGTGCTTTCTCAAGAATTACTAGACTTACTAAAAGTAAGAACTCTTGTACTAGTGGCTCACTGATTAGTGTAATTTACTGTATTACTGGCCTTAACTAGAATGCCTTGTTTACTTTTCTCCAAGGTTATGATTAATCCTGATCCAGAGAAAAGGCCTTCAGCTGTGGCACTAGTCAAGCATTCAGTGCTTCTCTCTGCTGCCAAAAAGAGTGCAGAGCAGCTCCGGATAGAACTGAATGCTGAAAAATTCAAAAACTCGCTCTTGCAGAAGTAAGTAGTTCCTTGGGGTCCTTAAATATAACTTAATTTCCAGTGGGTTTTCATATGATAGTAGAGTGATGATAAAACATGACCGTCCTTGTTTCTGCATGAGGTCCAAAAATCTGTGCTCATGTACATACCTGGGGGTACGAAGTGGGTCATGTAACTTTAAAAGAAGCTTTCTCCAGAGAAGGAACTTCTTGAACACTCTAAGGGAATCTCAACTACACTATTAGTATTCAAGGCATACAAAACATTACAGTTTTTAGAAAAGGTTTCAAGCACAATGCATACTTCTGTGACGTATAGTGTAATTTAACATCTATATTATTTGAGTCTTGTGTTTTCCTAGGTCATCTGTACATTGAAACATGCTGGAAAACATGACTTAAATGAGCTGTTTGGAACTTAAGTGAAATGGCACATCAGGAACGTTTTTGGACTCATTTCAGTTGTACACAGCAATTTTATTAGGTTACCAGAGAATCATTTGCATTGGGAGATCGTCTTGTCCTACCCTTTGCTCAAACGCTCAACTCTGAATTAAAGCTTTGATGAAGAGATTCCCTTTAGGAAAGTCTGATTTCTGGTTAAGTTTCAGAGAAATCAGATAATAAGTTAAGAAGCAATTAACAGAATCTTTCACTGCAGTTCATTTGCATGTGTTATGCATAACAGGCTTTTATGAGGGAATATAGAACACCGATTACTTTCTGACTGGCTCAGTTTGAACGAAGATGTTAACTTCACGTTTGGATTCTCTCCATTGCTATCTGCTTATCTTGCCATTGCTACGATCTGAATGTAGCCAGACTTGCCATTTTAGATAGTTACCTTTATAATCTTATTAATTACTCTGACTATAGAAAGAGTAATTTGACAGGTTATTCAAGGACAAATTTGCTGAGGTAACTTGCTTATATAAAGACAACATTTTTGTACTGTGTGAAAGAAGTTGTCAAAGCTAATAATTTGTGAAGACTGCTACTGGCCTGGCAACAAGTAGGGGTACATCCTTCTAAATTAGTAACTGTAAATCCAAGAATGATTTAAAAAGAACACTTACCCACAGTAATTTTTAACATTGTGTAGGATAGTGTTCCATAAAATAGTTCAGGTGAGTATTTTTGGGTTTTTTGTTGTTGGTTGGTTTTTTTTTTTTAACACTCCCACATTTGACCCGTTTAAGATACCACTTGTGTATTTAAGTTATCATCAGTGAAAGGAATCCTTGTAAGGAAACTCAGCTTTTCTACTGTGGTGTCTTCTTCAGAGGAAGGAAGAATTCAAGATTAGACTTCTAGGGGAGAATGGAAGTATTTCCTGGTAATGGTGTGGTGGGTGGGTGTACGTGTGTGTGTTTGTGAGATGTTAATCTTTAGGGAAGATAACTAAAAATGGATAACATTCTTTTGTAGTGAACTGACACAGTGATAATGTGGGGAGGATTAGATGGGGCATGGGTGTTAATGAATTATACTTTGACTTAGAAGAATGGGAGTAGCTTATTAAACTAAAACATGTAACTTAATACACCTACACCAATATGTATCAAGCTTGTAAAATGTGATCTTGCTTTGGCGTGCAGATGTGAAGTGAGATTACAAATAGTAGCTCTTATGGTAGAGAAAATTCTTTGAGGGATAGTGTGGGATAGGAGAAGGAAAAGAGTATGGGGCAGTCCTTGCACTTAGACATATGTCTGCATTTAAGGAAAGGAGAAATTTTTTTTGGGAAACCCCTTGCTAAAGATAACTTTGCTCTTTAGTCAAACTATTTCATAGTTTTATCCTGAGTTTTATTTAACTTTGTCTTCAGACTGAGTATTAGTAATTCTTTGAAACAGCATAGTTGACAGAACATTGCACAGGGACAATGGCCTGTGCTGCCTTCAGTGACTCAGACTTGCAGTTTTGGGCTCAAATTTTTATGTTGGGCAGAAAGATTTAGGTGGTGATAAGCTTTTGATGTGGGTATGCTAAAGGAAAAGGACGCTTCCTGAGTTGTCTGTTGCCAGTTATGTTCGTCTGTGTTCATCTAAGTGTGTGTCTGTCTGAATCTTCCACAGAAGTTCTGTTGTGGCTGAATGCTTCATCTGGGTAAACCTCAGCAATTGGCTCTTCAGTGATTATCATACGGCTTGTACTAGAAAGTAAACAGCATCCTGCCCTGTTCTGGTAATTGGAAGTGTTGAGCTGCTTATAAAAGGCTGGGTTTCAAAATCTGACTGAGTTGCGTGTATTTTTCATTTCCTTCTCTTGTCCAGATAGATGTTCTTTGTTTTGAACAACAAGCAATGAACATCCTACTTCTGTCCTCTGGGTTGTTATCAGGTGGATGCGAATGATAATGGTCTTAGTATGACCTAAATTGACGAGAAGTCTTAAGTTCTGAACTTCTGAGATTTATTTGAAGCACTCCTGGTGTGATACGCCTGTAGTCCTTATCGATACCCTTGCGTAGGTGTGACACTCTCAATGTCTTGCAGAGAGCTGAAGAAGGCACAGATGGCAAAGGCCGCAGCCGAGGAGCGAGCGCTGTTCACTGACAGAATGACAACTAGATCT